TATGTTACTGAGGAGAGTTTTATTGCAGAAGAGCTACATGCAGCAAGACAGTGCGCCACAGGAAATGAATGCTTCCAAGAAATCTTCGTCGGAGGACAATAGTGTGGTGGGCAAGATCAAGACGTCGCCACCAAGTCCTGAGTCCTCCACCATCGCCAAGCATAAAGCGTGTGGAGATACCAAAGTTCAGAAGTGTGAGGGTTCATCAACAAGTGCTGGAGGATGATGCCATTCTGAAGGAAGGAGAAGAAGGCTATTCCAAGGATGCGCTCAACCAAGCTCGCGCAAGGCTCAAGCACTTAAGTGTGTGTTTAGATTAAAAAATATATAATCGAGGTTAGAATTTAATTGAGATTAGTGAACTGAGATTAATAGAAAAATCAATTAATGTAACATAATTTATGTTTGGATATCTTTTTTTTTAAGTTAGTTAGATAAACTGAAATTTATTTGGATGATTTGATTTAAAAGCTAGTTGAAATGTTTAGTAGCGAAAATAAGTGTGAATTTTTTTATCTTAAATATTAAATCTTAAATAAGCATATTTATATTTTTTTGACTAACTAATAAGTAAAAAATATTAAACTTAAAATCACAACTAATAAGTAAAAAATATTAAACTTAAAATCACAACTAATAAGTAAAATATTTTAAATATTCAATCATGAAAACCTAAAATAAATTAATATTCAATTTATATGATTTACAAATTAATTTTTAATTATATCACGAACACGCTACATCTGTTTTGATGATCCGGGTAAATTAGACGAGGATGCCTCACCAATATTGGTATTTTCTTCATGGACATTTATATTTTCATTTTCAGCTTATATGAATTGTTTATCAGTAATTGAATTTCTCCTAATTAAGTTATGTGTTTTCATTGTTGCATAAACAATTTAAACTTGTATTTTATATCTAAATTTGGGCATTTTTTATATAATTGCAATCATATTCTTTCACACTCCAAAAGTTCTTTTTATAGTACATTTCAGACTTGAATGATAATACTTTTATACTCCAAAAGTAAATGTAATGACTAGGAAATTTAGAAATTTTAAAAAATGTGATAAATAATTTTTTCAACAAAAAAAAATTAAAATAAAATGATCAATTGTTCTTGTTGGTATTTTGACTTAAATGTTAGCAAAATCCATAATATATTATATATGTATATGTAATGATTTAGAAAATAATTATGATATTAAAATTATTAATAACATGTTTTGATGATATTTTCATAACTTCATAATTTTGAAATAGATGCAACAAGAAGTTATTGGCTTAATGGAGTCTGTGCTTGTTGCCTACATATTGTTGATCTCCGCAGTGGTGAGGGAGAAATTTTATTCTGCTCTAAACACTACAAAATTACCAAAATACCTTTTTTAGAAAAAGTTCAGATTTTCTCCCCTATTTCCCATTTCATTTGTGTTCTGCATATAAAAAAAAACAGGGAGTGGGAGACAGCTTCAAAAAAACCCTTCTCGATTCTTCTCTTCCAATTCCCGACTGGAGTGATTCTCCAACCATTCTTCCTCCTCCATCATCCTCTGTCTCCTTTGTTCTTCTTGTTCGTTTTGCCAACGAGCGCATGCACAGAGGAGTTCAGTTTGTCGCTATTAAGCTCATAGATTCTTCTTTTTTCTCTGTCATATTCTGCAACTGATTCCTCCTAACTTTTTTTTAAAACTAGTTAATGTTGCTCTGTGTGTGGGTGTGTGCACAAAGCTTCCATTATTCTTCCTTCGCATCACAAATTGTCCACTGTAACTGGTCTCTGTCTGGCTGATATTTTTTCTTCCTTGTTTTCTCATTCTAGATATGTTAAAGGCAGACCTCGAGTAGATAAAAGACAAGAGAGAGGAAGCGTAAAAATTTAAAATGCATTTAATGCTTTCAACAGGCAGCAACATTAATGTTAAGGAGAAAAGCTAGGTTAGTGGGCTTCTTGATTAATGCTCATTTACGTGCTAACTGAGGTTGAAAATTCATGATAATCCAAACAAATTTTTTTAACATTTTGCATCATAACCTCAGTTTGATCCATTCTAACCGAGTTAGAATATAATCCAAACATGCTCTAAATACGAGAAGACCGCGATCTCCACATAGTCCAATACATCGAGAACTGTAACAAGTGTACAGTTAATCCCAGTAGAAGCTAAATGGCAAATTAATATTCTTTCTCTTGCTTTCCTCCTCTAAATAATTATCATTTGATTTTTTTTTGGCTTGTAACTTATGATATAAATAAATATACAACTTCCATTGCTCCACTCAAGTTTTTCCCCCTTTCTTCTCCTTGATTAATTCGAGTATTCTTTGATTCGTTTGTAATTTTGAGACCATAAAAATCAAGAGGTAAGCTATAAAAATGGTAAAGTACAAAAATGAGAAATAGATTCGATTCTTCAACCATGAAAATTGTAGGGACTTGAAAGACTGAAAATAAAGTGTAAAGATCAATAACAAATCACGCAAAATGTAGGGATTAAAAGTTATATTTTTTTTAATTATTTTTATAGTAGTGGAATATGTAGACGGATTGCAATGTCTTAGCATTAAGAAGTGAACTGATCCTTGATTCTGAAAATGCAATTTGGAAAGCACCTTTTATTAGGTCCTACGCTGCTTATAGACTTGTCTTCTTTTTCAAGAAGAACAAATTTTACTCATCCATAGCTCCAAAACCTCAAGCACCGACTCATAGACCCCACCGGCACACATACAAAACTACGGAGGGAGGATGCCGTATATTTCGATTTGATATGATCTGGCAGTCCTTTTGTGAATGAAAATGGTTCCTTGAATTCTCACTTTTCTAATTGACTCACGCACTTTCAAAGACATCGTGGAAATTCAATTAACAAGTTTATAGTTGACTTGCTTTTTTCAATACCAAAAAATGGAGAGCATGGTGAATTATATTAATATTGAAACAAAAATCACAGGTAAAGTTGACATGGCTTGCTTAGGTTGTTTTATTGGTTTGAAAACAGAGCATAGCGAGAAGATGAGCGTGCAATGTGTGGCAAAGTCGAATGTAATGCCTCGTTTGGTATGCTATAAATGAAAACATGAAAATAGAAATGAAATTGCAATTAACTTTTTTTTTTTTTGTTTGGTATGCATGAAATGAATTTTCATGTTGAAATGGAATCCATCAAAATAGGTTGAATTGGGTTCTATAATAAGGCCCATGAAAATGAGATGGGTTCCATGAAAGTTAATTTTTTTGAACAAAAATAGCCTCAGTTATGAAATTGTTTGACAAATTTGCCCCTTCATCAACCATTGAAGTAAATTGAAAGTTTTTTAGTAAATTGATTATATAAATGTATATATTAAATAAAAAACATATCATAATTAAAAAAAATTGGTTGGGGTATTTTAATAAATTGATTATATAGATGCATATATTAAATAAAAAGTATATCATAATTTAAAAAATAGATAGGGTATTTTAGTAAATTTATTACATAAGTGCATACATTAAATAAAAAATATATCATAATTAAAAAAATTGACAAGGGTATTTTAGTAAATTGATTATATAGATGCACATGTTAAATAAAAGAGTATATCATAATTAAAAAAATAGATAGAGGTATTTTAATAAATTTATTATATAAGTGCATATATTAAATAAAAAATATATCATAATTAAAAAAAATGACAGAGCTATTTTAGTAAATTAATTATATAAATTCATATATCAAATAAAAAGTATATCATAATTAAAAAAAGTTGACAAGGGTATTTTATTATATTGATTATATAAATACATATATTAAATAAAAAAATATATCATAATTCTATATACATATCAAATATATTTTTAAAACTCACTTTTACCTTCATTTTTATTTCATATTCATTTCGATCAAAAATATTTTTAGATACTAAACAAGGTATAAATCTCACGTGTAATTGTGCAATCACGAAACGATGTATGGAAAATGAAAAAATACATAAAACGTGCGTGACTCGGAGCAATCCATGTGTTCCAACTATTAAGCACTTTCTGCCCAAAAAATAACTATTTAGCCCTTTGCATTTACACTGCTTATAGAAATATTTATTATTGTTATCATTATTATTTTTACATAAACTGTATAAATTATTCTGAAATCAATCAATATGTATTTAAATTATCAAAAAAAAATTGACGAGCAAAAATTATGTTACATTTTTTTAATTCTTAATTTGGGCTTTGAACTTTCACTTACACCTCACTCACTTATAGCCAAGTCACCCTTAAATCACAAAAATTGCACGAGGCTTTGATCTAATCAATGACAATCACAAAGTCTAAACAGCTAACGTCACTGAAATTGCCACCTTATCAATTATCATAAACATGGGCTCAGACAATTGGCTCGGTGAAACTTTCATCGAATTCTTTGCTGACCATAATATTTATATATTCATGAGAAAATAGCTCCTTAATGTTCAGACAATGCGCCTGTTCCACTCTCCATTATCAAAATTCTCGGTGCCTTAAATTCTTTTCTTTAATCTTATTAAAACAATTCTTCTCTATTAAACTATTTGATATATTAGCGGAGCACTCTGCTGCACGATCTTAAGAAGGGTTCTAATTGTCACAAGGGAGTGAAGAGGCTCAACTGTCATGAAAAACGATCTAAAAACAGACATCACCCAATCTGGTACAGTTATTTTTGCCTTTATATGCTCAAATGTTGTCTCCCGATATTAAGAGGGAAATAATGAGTCAAATAATAGCGATCAACTATTAAAGCCTAACTGCCAAACCGCAAAACCGTTTGTTTTTTGAACAAGTCGGAAAAAATGGAAGTCAGCCGGTCTCTCCCAAGAGAGTTGCGTCCCAAATGAAAGAGAAGCGTCCGTGCGAAGAAATCGCGCTCCACCTCTCTCTGTCCTTAGATTTTCTATTTTTTATTTTTGAAAGAGCATTAATCAGCTTATATCGTATTGTAACTGCACCCCTATATATATTTGTTCGAACATTTAGTTACCTCCGACCTCAGGCTTCTTTCGTTGTTTCATCTTGTTTCAAATAGAATCTGAGGTCATTCTTGCTAAGGAAGAAAACCCATCTATATTCTTTGCTTCATTACCTTTTATCATTTGGGGCACCCCATTCCATATCGACGGTTTTGGGTGCCTCTTAGTAATTCATCCAAGGGACTGATTAGTTTGCCGGGGATTTATTTTGGACTTCTCATTGAATAACAGGTAATGCAGATCAAAATCAAATCCTTCCCAAGATTCTTTCTTTTGCAGAAATTTGCTGTCCTACGAATTCTTCGAACTTTGATCATTCAGAGCTTTGATGGGTTTGGTTTGGTTTCAGGGTTCCCCCGTCCGTGGCGTGATAGGGATTGAAAATGTTGGGTGATTTCTTGACTCGGATTCTTATGTATGTATATGTGCGTGCGTGCGTGGTTTTTTTTTTTTTTTTTTTGCGGTTTATGATTCCTCTTATGATGGTTGAGTCATTGTGTGATCTTTACTCGCTATAATCATTCGGTTCCAGTCTGCTTCTGGGGTATGCATACCCTGGATTTGAGTGCTACAAGACTGTGGAAAAGAACAGGGTCCAGATTGAGGAGCTTCGCTTCTGGTGCCAATACTGGTGAGAGAAATGAGTTTCTTTTTATGTCTAGTTGTTTGCTTCTTTTAATGTTTATATTATTCAAATTGGATCATGTTCATGTTCTTGAAGTGGGAATATAATTTGAGTTAAAAACTGGAGATTGAATACCCATCAAGAAAAGGATACTTTTTTTCTGCAATATTCAAATGGGGGGCACTCCCTTAAAAAGCAGAGTAGATAGAGGACCGAATCATGCACACAAGATCATGATGCAGTGCGTGTATCTGAAATCACCCACCATCAAAAGCCAAATGAGCCATTTTCTTCCTATTGGAATTAGGAATAACAAAGATCACAAAGTTTCTCAAAAAAAGCAAGGACGACACATTTTTCTTCTTTTTTGTTCTTGCTCTTACACAAGTAAATTATAACATATGCATCATTTATATGTAGGATCATTGTGGCGCTCGTCACAGTTCTGGAAAGGTTTACAGATATATTTGTCGGATGGTATGTATTACACTTTTGCATTCCCCCCCAAATGTTGGATTCAAATTTAGCTTTCTGAGATTAATGAACATCCAACTTTGTGAAGGTTACCATTATATGGAGAGATGAAGGTGGCGTTCTTTGTCTATCTGTGGTATCCCAAAGTTAAGGTAAGAGCTTGATACTGTCCTTGTGTCTTTTCATTCACAAAGGAAAACAGAGAGAAAGATGACACAGGTATTGTTAACTTAATTGCAGGGGACAGGGTTTGTGTATCAAACAGTGTTGCGTCCTATTGTATCAAGACATGAAAACGAGATTGACAGGCAATTGCTGGAGCTGAAAGCTAGGGGACGGGATTTGGTCGCTCATTACTGGCAAATTAGTGCAAAAATGGGCCACTCCGCATTTTTCCAGGGTCTTGAGTACTTGGCCACTCAGTCTGTTAGACTGAAAGCCAGCCCCCCTCAGGTCATTTCCCCATTTCTCACTTTCTTTATTTTCCCGTAATCAAGCAACTTGAGCAAACAGCACCATTTATAAGTACAAGAAGCACGAGACAAACCTTTTGCGTTATAAATTCAGTTATATGTGTGTGTGTTGATGCAAGGAAATAAATAGATGACAGCAGTGATAGTATGTTACTGAGGAGAGTTTTATTGCAGAAGAGCTACATGCAGCAAGACAGTGCGCCACGGGAAATGAATGCTTCCAAGAAATCTTCGTCGGAGGACAATAGTGCGGTGGGCAAGATCAAGAAGTCGCCACCAAGTCCTCCACCATCGCCAAGCATAAAGCGTGTGGAGACACCAAAGTTCAGAAGTGTGAGGGTTCATCACCAAGTGCTGGAGGATGATGTCATTCTGAAGGAAGGAGAAGAAGGCTATTCCAAGGATGCGCTCAACCAAGCTCGCGCAAGGCTCAGGCGCTTAAATACAGGAAGCCCGCGATCTCCACATAGTCCAATACGTCGAGAACTGTAACAAGTGCACAGTTAATCCCAGTAGAAGCTAAGGGGCAAATTAATAGTCTTTCTCCTGCTTCCTTCTCTAAATAATTATCATTTGATTTTTTTTTTTTTGCTTGTAAATTGTGATATAAATAAATATACAGCTCCCATTGCTCGGCTCAAGTTTTTCCCCCCTTTCTTCTGCTTGATTAATTCGAGCATTCTTTGATTCGTTTGTAATTTTGAGACCATAAAAATCAGGAGGCAAGCTATAAAAACGGTAAAGTACAAAAATGAGAAATAGATTCGATTCTTCAACCGCCGAAAAAAAAAAAAAAAACAAGGATATATGCTCCCGCCACAGACGACAACGTTATATGCTTACAAGGCGCCTGATTGCCCAGAGTATCCGATAAAAGATTCGAGTAGCACCCGGAACAAGGCGGTGAAGGATGAAGCGGAGGCAGAAGGAGAATCTGTGGGAGAGGCGGCGGAGGATGTTTGGACTGGATGAGCTGTCGGGGGAAGCAGACATGGGCTGGAGGTAAGCCCAAGCGGCCTGCTTGACTAGGCGGTTGCGAATGGATATGCGGTGGGAGGAGTTGGTGGAGGTGGAGGATGCGGTGGGCGAATTGGCGGCGGCGGCAGAGGAAGGAAGCACGTCTCTAAGGGATATGTAGGAAGAGGGAGATTTGATGGAGACAAACTCCAAGTCGAGAAGTGACGACTGCGGCGCGTCAGTGTTGGCGGCGGCGGCACAGGAGCTGGCTCGGGGTGGCACCACGACGGAAGTGGGTATGGAGTGCCAGCGGCGGAGAGTTGACGGCGTCTTGGGCGGTGGAAGGCTTAAGGCGGAGGAGTCATCCATGGGGTGGGGCCAGCACGCAGCAGAGGAATCTAAGTGAAGGAGAAGGAAGGAGACAGTCGCAGATTGGCTCCAACGTCTCAGGCTCTGGCAATTATTGGCCTGTCGTTCACCAGAGTCTCCACTCTTGACCCAGCTTCCCGCCGTACACGTTTGCGTTACGACAAATAATAATTCGGCAAGCTTTAGTTATAAATTATGCTCATCATTTAACTAAATTGGAATTACTATGTGTCTACTTTTTGGCCCCAAAAAGATTACATATCTACTACGAAGCATGAAATAATTAAGTTATCTTTTTTTTTTTTTACGAACGATCACTGTGTAGAAAAATGAATTTAATGAAAGCGAAGTTTACTTTAAAGCATAATCATTTGGTTCTATTCATGAATCATTTTCATTTAACTTGAAAAAAAAATCTCAAATCTCATTCCTATATTTTAAAATTTAATAAATTTTTAAATATATAACCTAATATAAGGATTTTCTAACCTTTAATGAGAATAAAAATGTAAATATAAATGTAAAAAATAATAAAATGTCATATAAATAGAACTAAAATTAATATTATCTTTCTATCTTATAAATAAAATTAAAGGAGTAAATTAGTTTGTTTTACTACACTGAATATCTCTTGAAATTTAACAAAGTGAGCACGTGATCGTAAATCTTAAGTTCAAGAATCCGACAGTATTGGATTTTGAGTCCCTGCCTTCATTTATTTCTCTGGCCTCTTGTAGTTTTGGAGACAAAGCTCTTCAAAGTTTTTTTTTTAAAAAAAAACTACAAAATCGTGATTTAAACTTATCTCTTATTATTATGTCCATACTTTATAAAAAGTAATTATTGCTTATTAAATTTAAGTATCTTGATAATTTGTACGTGGAAGAGATGACAAGCTACACTTTCCCAGTTTAAAAATGTAATAATTAGTCCTTTTTCATATTGCATTTTATTTATATTAGTGCATGACAACGTGTCAAATAAATAACTAAAGGGGAATGTGAGATCTTAAATGACATAACTTGTTCGATAAAAAGAAACTCAAAATGTCATTCTATTCGTTGAGTTGCTTTAGAAATCAATAATGTGCAAGTTGAGGATTTTTATGGAAATAAAAAATAGACAAGGAGAGAGAAACCAAGAAAGTCATATTGCCATTGTTTGATTAAAATTCAAAGAGCGGATCTTTCTGTCTAGGGATTAACAAAACAGTTAAGTTTTCCAAATTTTTTTAATTATATATTTAAATACCATCTCATTAAAACACTATTTAAATATTAAATGTGAATACAATTTTTAATAAAGATTTCAATTAATTTTTTATCCGCCACATTATGAAAAATTACTCTTTCTTACCATACATAACCCTCAAACTCTTGTTAGTATTTTCCAATTCCTTGCCTCCCAGTAATTCGTGGGTCACTCATTTGCTGTGCTTCTGTGACAACCCGCCCCGTGGTTGGTCCCTTTCCCTGTTTCCTTCACGTCTTTTCTTTTCTTTCTTTGTTTTTTTTTTAACGGACCTATGCTATTTATTAGTGTACTATGTATGAAGCATATATACCTAATACGTGAACAAGTAAATTATTTTAGAGAAAATAAATTTCTTAATTCGTAGAGTTTTAGCCAACTTGGGTGGCATCTAAAGTTTTTTTCTTTTTTTTATTGTAAGATATTTTTAATTATTTTATACATATTAAAAATATTAATTTTTTCTTGATATCGTGAAAAAATATATTTTATTTTTATTATTAATTTTAAATAAGGATACAACTAAATCAAATACTTTCACACTAATCAAGAGATGGTAAAATGAGAAAATGTGATTTAATTATTATAAGATATTCTACATTTTGGATAAAAATTATTTTTAAAAAATGTCCTACAAATAGGATGAGAGAGAGTATTTATTAGGGGCTTTTGTTGATATAATCTATACTATAAGAGCAAACTAAATAAATAGTCACATATTTATTATATTTTTCATTATGACTTATTTGTTATGTTTTTTAATGATATATCATTACGTACCAATTACAACATTTTATATGTCAATGTGAATCGGTCATACTCTTAAATTTTTAAAAATTTGATCTATATTTTTTGAACACAATATTTTTTTTATAAGTAAGCCAATTTATCCTATTTATTAAGGAATTAGTTGTTAGAATCATGACTAACTATTAGAAATTAAATAATAGGGGTTTAATTCTAGAGACTAGAGCAAAAAAGAACCCCTTTCTTTCTCTCGTGTCCGAATTCTGGCAAGGAAGATCATGTCGATGAAATAATAATCCATCCATGATGTGATGCGGCTGAGGGCAAGGTGGCTCTCTACAACCTCTAGGGTTTCCCTCTCTTTTGTGAGAGTCTCTTCATTAGGAAGGGTTTCCCCTGCTCTTGGTGGTGGCAATCTTTGCTGCTCTTCTCCGTGGCGACTGCTGGGGAGTAGTGTATTGATGGAGATGTGCATGGGTTAGGGGCATTGGTTGAAGAGTATTTCTTTGCTTAGAATTAAATTCTTGTGGTTTTGCCTCTACTTTGTTATTGTCAATTTACGTAAATCTTTTGCTGGTAAAGTTATGGATGATTTGAGATGGGTTCCTTTTGGCTATAGGTTGTGCATCTATATTGATGTGAAATATTTTGAGTTGAATTTGTCTAGAAATGAATTATCTTGTCTGGGGCATAATCTCTTTTGCTTAGGATATTCCGGTCACAGTTATAATAATAAATGTTTGGATGGTGCAAATGAGAAATTGCTTGTTGGTTTTGATGTTTTGAGCAACAATAATAGAGCTTTTGTTAGAAACATAGATTATTTCTCATTGGTTGAAGCGTTTAATAAAAGAAGAAAATTAGTCTATTTAACCTTTGAAGATCTATTTGTTAATCTTGACAAGTCATTAAGCTATTGAGGTTTTTAGTGAAACCCAAGTTCTCTTTTTCAGGCTGTTGTGTGGATTGCTTGTACTGCAATGATAGGGGTGTGCTCTCCGGATCAATTTGATATGCCCCCAACCCTTATGGTTCCTCTCCTAAAGCATTTGTTTGATGTATCTATGATTCTAGCTTTCTCTATCCTTTTGTCCCTTGTTTCCTTTCTTTTGTTACTTTTGCTGATGTTTTTTTTTTCCTTATCTGGACTTGGTGTTCTTGCTCATTTTGAGCTTTTTCCTTAAGTTTTATTGATTTCCTCTTACTGCCCCCCCCCCCAAAAAAATGGGGATTTAAGAATTTTGATCACAACTCTAATAATGGATTTCTTAATTGAAAAGTAAGCATCTTGACAAATTTACCGGACCTACATGGATATTTTTTTTATCATTTTATTATAAAATTGAAATTTAAAATGAATTCACTTGAAATTTAAAACGCCGAATTCTTTCTTTTTTAACCCAAAAAAAAATTGTTTTTGAAAGTGATATCTCGAGAGCTAGAGGCCAATTTCCTCGTTTGGAGTTTGGACGCAGCTCACAAGGCGCATTCGTTCCCCTTTCCACATGGTGGCGACACAACGCAGGGCTCAATGGGGAAGCAGTCAATGCACCTCCCTTACCCTTCATTCTTATTGCTCGCATCATTTAACTTTGAATAATTTTAAATAATTAAAATTTAATATTTTATAAAATTATTATTAAAGTTTAAATAACAAAAACACATAAATAATTTTAATCTGGTAAAATTTAAACAAATTGAAATTGCAAAAAAATTAAATAATTACTTTACAAAACATTTTAATAATAGTTTTTAATTTGTAAGTTGTTCAAAAAAATTAATAATTTAAATTTGATTTATTTTTTATTTAATATTTTAATATTAATGTTATAAAATATTAAATTTTAACTTTTGAAATTAGATTAAATAGTTAAGACAAGAGATAAAGAGAGACGTGAGAAAAGGTTGAGAAAATCATCTCCGAATCTATATTGAAAAAGAATAACGATGTGATTATGATGTATGTTAAGAAAAGTTATTGTATTATTTCATTTTTTAAAAATATACTAATTTTTCAATTACACTTTATTAATTAAAGGTATATACGTATTATTATCAAAATGTAACCAATAAAAATATGAGAGTGAAACTTTGTTATCTGTACAAAATCATTTTACTTTCAATATTATCGTATATTAGGTATTATATATTAAAAAATATTTTCTCCATTTAAAAGTGTAAGGTATTTTTAAATCAAATCTCATCTTCAATAAAATAGTTACTTGTCTTCAAACTAATTCTGTCTTTTTATATTTATCTTTATTTAATAAGACATTTCACCCTAAAATATATATAAAGTGATTTATTCAATAAAGATACTTAAATAAAGACAATAATTATATCTTAAAAGATTAAGGATACCTTATACTTTTTAATATACATAATAAAAAATACCTTATATTTTTATATGAAAGAAATAAATGATTTATATCCAGATGTGCTAAAAGTAACCATGGCCACATGGAGCTGGTAATTCGGGCAAGTTGGGTTTATTCAAATCAGACTTGAAGTATCCTACCCCTTCTAAAAAGTCTATATAGTCAAACCCAACCCTAATACTTTCGAGTTTATTCAGGCCGGCCCAAATACCTCAAAAACTTTTAAAAATAGTTTTTTCTATTTTTTGAACTAATTTTAATTTTTAAACAATTCTATTAATCATAAAATATTATTTTAACTTTAAAAGAATAAAATAAAAAATAATTTATCAACTTTTTACTTAAGTAGCTCTATTATTATTTTATTATATTATGTGTGATTTATTTATAAATATTTTTTTATTTATAAATTAATGTCTTAATTGTTTAAATATTACTCTTATCATAGTTAAATATAAATATTTTATATATTTTAATTAAATTATATTATTTAATCATGATTAAATTGATCTCAATTCAATCATGGTTAGACTACTAACTTAAAATTATTATCTCAATTAGTTTAAAGTTTTTAATAACTTTTAGGTAAGTTGTATTTTTTATTTTTATGAATATAAGAAAAATAACTATCATTATACTATATAAATCAACATTATTTAAGTATAAGTAAAATATTATTTTTTTGAAATCATTTTTTTTAACTTTTTATATTGCTTAACCCTTACATATGAGGAATTTTTACTCTAGTTTATTCTTAATTTTTAATCAAGTCTAATATGGATAATAACCAAGTAATAATTCAAAAATATTATTCTATTTATTATGTTTATCTAGTAGTAGAATCATGAATTCGTATATACTTGAATTTTATTTTTAAAATTATTTTTAATTTTATTTTTACTTTAAAATTAATTATCTTATTTTATAAAAAATATAAAATTAATTTTTTTATACACAAATGATGTGTAGGACTCAAAATTTTTTTTAAAAATTAGATCTTAAAATATAAAAATTAATATTAAAATATATTTTGAATATTATTTTAAGATATTTTATTGATTAAAAATAATAAAAATATGAAAATATAACTATTTAAAAAAAATAACTATAGTAATACACTCAAATATATAATATTTTGGTATAAAATAATATAAAACTTAAAAAATTAATTAATATTTATCATATTTTATATATTTTTTAAAAATTACTTTTTTATTCAGGTCAAGCACAAACTTAATTGAGCTTGGCCTGTATTTCCTCAAGCTTATTCAAGCAGTCTAAATAAGCCCGAACATCATAAAAATAATATTTTTTTCAGATTTAGTCTTAAATTTTTCAAACAAATTTGCATTAACCTATCAAATTTGGCCCAAATTACTAACTCTGCCATGCCATCTCATCCAATAAAAAGATAACTAACGCTTTATTCTTGTTAAGTTCGCTTTTGTACATGTCATCTAGAGATAATGAAACTTTTTCGTTTCCTTTATCATTAATACTGTTAACTTGCTTTTTAAGTTTTATTTCACATATTTTATTTTGACTTGAGAAAATCATAATATCAATTAGTCTTCCATTCCATACCCTTGCCCCTCTAAGTCGTAGCCTCGTAGGCCACTGAAAATTTAAAAGCCACTAGCTTTCCTTTATTCCTAACCTTGACAAGTTAAACTTTATTAATTGAAAAATTAAGATGCAATGACTAAAAGTCGAAGTGGAAATTCTGAATTGAATGTGCACAGCTGTACCGTAGCGGCTTATTTCGTGACTGAAATTGAACGCTCGGCCTCGAACGCCCTCGCATAACAGGCAGTCAGGCACAATAGCATCACACCATCTTTGATTTTGATAGCATCCCAATGGAGTGGCCAGTAGCCGCAACTCACCTGGGGCTTTCGTCATTGCCCCATAAACTCCGCGGCCAAGTTTTAATACTACTTAAACCTACCATTTGAATAATGAAATTTCCAGCTAGTTGCGAGTGACATGATCTTATCATCTCTCTGGGAAGTGTATACAACCAGCATGAGTAATTATTTAAGATCAAGGTTCTTTTCCTGTTAATGATATCCAGTACATCCTTGCAGCTTGGCTGCATTTTGTGCAGCATCTACCTAGTTGCTGCGCTATACTGCAAGCCTTGCGAATAAGGGAATCCAAGACGCCTGAGACTTGTGATTCACAAGAGAGGTGATGAATATGGCGTCTACTGTATTTCACAGAGCAGCAAAACTTTCAGTAAATATCTTAAATCAACGAATCAGCCTTCAAGCTAAATCTTCCATCAAGCATAACCTGTTACCAGTTTATTCAAAAGAGATGGTCAATCATGTTAACTGAACAGCATAGCATAAATCCCCAGCTTCACATTCAATGGCTCCAGAGATCATCCTCAATATCCATACAGGCTACCAAATACTTTATCAAAGTAGTTTCCCTTAATGAATAAATGGCTGGGGGCTAACCATGCTTTCTGGTACCACGTGATTTTAGACGCATCAGCTTTCACCTCTGAGTAGAGTTAGCTAATGACGATGGTCCATCAGCAAACCCAGATGATGGAGTTTGTGGCCTTGAGATGATTCCAAACTCAGAGGAAAGCATGTCCACCCCATTCCAATCAACACTTGCTGTTAAATTGGAGTTAAGGAATTTAACATACCATTTTTTTTCTTCAAAAAAAAAAAAAGGGATACGAGCCCAGAAATTAGAGAAAGGGCAAGTGAAAATAGAAGGCATAAAAACATTTGAAATGACGGATACAATCTGTTCTCCACATATCTGTAATGCTAACGTCAGCATCTGATAGTAGCCAGTAATCTGCATCATTCTGCAAACGTAAAAAAACGGTGCTGTGACATTAGATATGAAAGGTAATATGATAAGATTATTGAATTCTTGTCTTCTTGAGCTACGCGTTGGTAGACCCTTTGCAGATTCATAACAACTTTTCTCAATGCTTCGGACCTAGCACAAATTGAACATGATAATAAACTTACATCAACATCAGAAGGAACAATTTTCATAATGCCCCCGCCGAACTCTGGTGAAGCATTTAGATCAGAGCATGTATGAGAAGACAGTTGAGTTTGAGATTCAAGACCCTTCCCATTATGTTCAAGAGGAGTCATTTCTGTCGTTAGGTGTTCATTTGACCCTGAACTTGAAGCAAGTGGGAGGCTTGCAGGGGGCTCGACGCCATTCATCTCTTCAAATTTCTCCTCAAATTGACTAGAAAACAATTCAGAAGTTCCAACAATGAAATAGTAGTTCCATGAACCAGGTACACAAATTATCCATTATAATCAGACTAACAAAATCAAGTAAATGTGATTTCTACACAGACGACAGAAAAAAAAGGAGGAAAACACATGCTGCCCAAGGAAGGGATACCTGACAAGGTAGACATCAATAGGACCCATTGTGCTTCTAAGAATTATTCTGTATCTCCTCTGTGGATAGTCAACGGCCTGTGGGGTATAGAAGCAACAACTTCCATCATTCATCAGAAATACCAGTTTCAAAACATCAAGAACCTTCGATCAAAGTATATGCCCAAAACTCACTTCCTCAGGATCAGGGACTTCCAAAGTGGTCCCATGTGGCGCTTTAATTGCTATTAGAGTTTCATTCTGCTTAGAAAAATGCACAAGGACCATCAGTTAAAAGTGAAACACGTGAAACAATCAGCATGAAAAGGAGAACATAGCAATTGTCATAACAGGAACAACCATGCACTACAGTAATCACAAACTCACCTGTAAGCTGGGTAGGCCCTTGATATCTTCTTCAGTTACAAAAAGCCACCTAAGAGAAAAATTCACAAGAATTATTATTGGGATAATATTTACTTTTTCCTCGATAAAGAGAGAATTAATCTCATGTCTTAAACAGAAGAAATACTTCTGGTTTTTTTCATCTTCGCTCAGATTTCTCAGCCTTTCCTGCATTTCCCTACCAAAATTTTCAAAGCAACAGTATTAGCCCGCAGTTATGAAATAACAAATTTCTTTCTCTAACTCAAAACAAATATGCAACCTTATTTGATCATCTAATCTTTGCTCTTCCAAAGAAAGCTTCTCAACATCTGCCTGCAATACATCAGAAGACCCACAGGGCACAACATAATTTACAATATGCCCTACCACACTATAAGATATTAAGACTCTATTTTCCTCAATATTTCTGTACCATAAACTATGATAAGCATAGCACTAGAACATCATGCAACTGCTTATTGAGTGTTGTCTCTAGACATGTCCAATGCCATATCAACAGCACTGATAATTTGGCAACAATTGGTTCCTTGAGCGTCAGCATATCATTAACAACAAAACATGCATGCCACGTACCTTCAGCATAGATACATCACCATCAACCTCTCCAGATGTAGAAGATTTGATTCCCCTACATTAGGTATTCCACAAGAATTGACATGAAAATAGTGCACTAATACTTTGATCAAAACTGTAAGGCTAAAAATAAGAGAAGCTATACGTAGCAGAATTTCAAATTGTGTCAAAAAATTACTTCCAATGTATCCTATTCTTGAGCTTTTTCTCAATGAGACCAATTCCTTCCAAAACATTGGTTATGTCATATATCCTCCTCTTTTGCACCTGCGTAACAAGAAAAATTTAAATCCATACGTTATGGGAATGGAAATATATTGTGGATATCTCAGCCATAGTTTTTAAAACCAGCACCTCCAAAGTTTCAGCTGCTTTGTTTAGGTCAAGATCACCATCCTCTGCATGCTTGAGCAAATTGATGAACTTCTTAGTCAATAAACCTGTGAAGTTATGGCATAATTTGTCATTCTTTTCTCTCGAAAATAACCTTGTTGGCTGATAGCTACATGAGGCACAAATCAAGAGACACGGAAGTAATGAAAAAATGATTCCAAAAGTACCCAAGGAACTGTCATAACGGCAGCTGCCAGCAGGAGTTAGAGAAGGGGAACCTGTATGTCAACACAAAATCAAAAAATAGATTAAAAAAATTGATTAAACTCAAATATCCAAGCCTAATATGACTAGAGTGAAGCAGGAAAGAAGCAGTTTTCACCACCCTCACAAGCTGCACATAAGTTGTTTCCAATGTCTATAAATTCATCAAACATAGTAGAGAACCTAGTTAAGCATTGAACATGAAAGAAAATGGGATAATTTTCTCACCAGCATTTGAGATGGGGGTCTGAGGACCAGATTTGCCTTCCTTGGCAACCTTGGACTTACTGTATGCCCTTCCACCTTTTGCAGACACAGGTGTTTTAAGGGGACTACTTGTTACATTAGCAGCTGGGCTGTTACTCCATCCCTGGGACTCTCCATTGCTGTCATTCACTATGCTCTTCCGCTTCATGTACTGACATCATCAGCATATTCTAGAAGTTATGACATAGAGGAGAAAAGAGATGACTAAAGGTATAAACACAAACAAAGATATATAGGTCCGATGACGGCAAGATAACACAATTGATTGAGCATGGGAAACAATTGAAATTGATCCTTTCAGATCCACAATGACAAATCATAAGGTTTCATAGTCCATGAAATGACCCCAAAAATAAAACATTGGCGAGCACACACAAGCAATTCAAACTCATCACATGAGAAGCCATTGAAAATTGTTTTTTGACAAGGATGAGCATTACAAAGTCATGCATATTTACATTGAACAATGTGGCAAATATGTAACGACCAACAAATAGTAATGATGCTATTGACCCCAAAAAAAAAAACTAAACTAAACTAAACTGCAAGTGCAAGCACCAATGCATAACCAATTGATCTATCCAACATCCAACTAATTCATCGTTAGAACAGGTTACCTGCGTAGAATTGACATCAACAAACTATAAAAAAAGAAAGAAAGAAAGAAAGAAAGACAAGCACAAAAGATAAGGACACAACATCCAAGGGTGTTAATTTTATATTTGTACAATTCGCACCCTGTCTTGAACATTTACATTGCAATCACTACCAAATACCCAACAAGCTCAATATTTTGTACAGGTGAATTCAAGTTGGAAAACTTAAAAGAGCTTTAGAAAAACTTGATCATCAGTGCAAAAAGCCAAATAACAATTGAGAATATAATTCGAGCTTGGGAAATTGAATTTATGCCTGCAAGAGAAAACGAAAGGCACACTCTCCAGAACAAACTTTAAAAGCTGTAACAATGGCAGTTCTGGAACAAAAGTCTGCATCTACATCGAAAGCAACCCGAGAAGAAGCTATATTGCCTCACTATCTCCTACTCCCCACCTAGTTATTGAATAAGAGACCGCTAACGAAGCATAAAGAGATCAAAGTTGACCTAAAAATTGGACTTGGAAAATGGGGCAGCTGCGTGACCTTGGCTTCTGCAAAATGACCTCTAAATTCTTTTGTTTTGCAGGATAAAAAAGTCAAAACCAAAGGTCCATTTAAATAATTATAAATCAGGAGCATGCACGGACTAATCCAACTAATTCTGCATATATGGGGAGGGAAAATGAAATAAGGAACGAAAAATAAGCGGCGCCCAAAGCCATTCGCTTAAAAAATTATTTTTGCAATATACAATTATTAAACGTAAACCCAAATAATTAGCGGATATAACAATGACTAACAGGAGATCGAACAACAACAGCTTCAGGCTCTTGATCGGCAGCTCTTCTAGAGTTGGGAGAAGAAAAGCTGTGATAATCATCCGGAGGAACAAATGGCGGTTTAGTCGATGCGAAGGCCAGGTGACGCTTAAGTGGCGGCCGATTCTGAGAAGTCTCGGGTGGTGGCGATGCCGGGCGGTTTGAAGCTCCAACGCCCCCAGACATGGAGCATTAAACTGATCGTACAGCTGTCAATATTAATCACTAGTGTTTTGTGTTAGAAGTTGACTGGGAACATCAGTGGACATAAACGAGAACTATGACTACAAGGTTATGAGAATGACGATGGGATTTGAGAATTTTAAGAGAGAAAATGGCTGGTTTTAGAGAGAGAAAAGGGTTTGGAGGAAAGTAGAGAGCTAGGGCCGAAGATGAGAAGAGCAGAAAACGAGGGAAGGAGGGAATTTTGTTTCGGATAGATGTGGAGGGAACGCCACTTCGGAAAAACTACATCGGTTATTTGCGCTTTAGCCTCTGCATTTTGATATTATTCCAAAGAGGACCCCGAAATTATGTATCCTTTTCTCGTTCAGCAAATCCGATAAAAATAAACTATAATGAGAAATAATTTTAGGAGTAAAAAATACTTCTTCTACTAAAAAAATATAAAATATTTTTAATTGAATCTCACTCTTTAATAAAATAATTATTTATTTTTTAATTAATTTTATTTTTTTATATTTATCTTTATTAAATACTTTACCATAAATATAAAATTATTATGATACTTTTGAAAAAAAAATAATGATTATACATTAAAAAATTAAAAATATTTTATATTTTTAAACATTCAACTTCTTAAAAAATACCTTATATTTTTTAACAAAATGAGTACCTATTATTTGCATATACTTACTGGTATAAAATATAAAATCTTGTCACTAAATAATAATATAATAAATGTTGATAATCAAATTAATAGAAACCTCGTTACAAGAGCAAGATATTAGAATCCGGTTGTTGTTCGGGCATCTTGGAAAGCTATATAATAATCTGGCCAAGAATGATATTATTGTAAAGTATAAAATTTCTAATAAATTAAACCATTTTCGAACTACAAATATAAATAATGTGATTACTTTTTTAAACCAGGTGTATTTGCATGAATTGACATCCAGTTTTTTTTAAATTGATCGAACCAGGGTAGGGCTCGCAGCAGTGACTCCGGTGCCGGTGCCCATGGTAACGTGAGGGGATTTTTATTACAAAAATAAAGATATTTTAAAAAATGTATTTTGATTTATAATTTTGCCAAAGTAATTCTCTGAGACTTTGGTGACATTTCACCATGTTTTGGCACTTGACTGTAGATAACCCTTCTCTGATGGACCAGAAGAATAAAAATAATATAAGATAAAAATAAAAATGAGTTTGGGGGTTTTAAAATAAAAATAGTATAAAATACTGATTGAAAACAAAATAAATCATCAGAAGAATCTCACATTCAAGGATACTAAATATCAATATCAATAATTTTTTGACAAGAGAAATACCCATATCAATAAAAATTTCAAAATCTAGATAATGATACTCATGGAATCATATGTTATGAATAATTTAATTTATTTATTTAATTTTTTTATCAGAAATTTAATTACTTATTTTATTATGTTATACCAATAATACAAATCTATTTTACATTTCACACAAATGCATAGGTTCATTATAATTAGCACATAATAAATGCAAAAGTTAGTGTGTGTAATACTTTTTCTGGTGATTAATGAAATTGGTTTGTTTGCTCAAAAAAAAAAAAGAAATGGTTCTAATGGATAACAGGATGGTTTATATATTTTATGTAATAAAAAGATAATTATTGCAAATTTTATAATGACATTTCATAAATGGATGCCTATTTGAAAAATCCTCCTCTTCCAAGGCCCTGTTTGGTTAGATGGGGAAGGGCTCCTCTTCTCTCTCCTCATTTGGTTAAGAGGAGGGGAGCCCCTCCCTTCCCCTCTCCTCCTTTGATTAGGAGGAATTTTTCTCTTCCTCTCCTCCAAAGTCTCTCCTTCAAATTGGGGAAGAGCTCCCCTCCCCTCTCCCTTCCTTCCCTCCTCTCCCCTTACCTTTTTTTTTTCTTTTTCTCTTCTCGAATCAAACAGACTCTAAGAACTAGTCAATGGGGATTAAAGAGAAAGTGGTGTAGCTTATTTTATTTTTATCTTTTTTTAAATATAAAAAAGTCAAAGATGCTGATCACATATTGATGATGTCATCAATATATCACCGTCACCCTGCATTTAATATTTTCTGGTCACGTACTTTATTGTTATTAGTATTTAGATGGATGGCATATCATTTTTCTAATTTTTATAATATTCTTTTTTTGCTGCATTAAAGCCGAGCACCTTCTTTTGGGATGATTCGAATCTTAATTTATAAGAGATTAGTCATTTGAACTGTTTCAAATTCTATATAATTTTTATAATATTCAATTTTAATTTTAATACACTCGGCCTATTTCACATCGCCTTTCTCTTTATTAAAGCCTCGTTTATTTAACATTAAAAAATAAATAATTTTTAAATAATTTAAAAATTTTATAAAAAGTTATTTATTTTATAGATGTTTTTATAAAAAAAATAGGCTTTATTTTATGTCTGATTACAATGATAAAAAAAATTTATTAGTTTGTTATTTTTAAGTTTTATGATATCTTCCTTGATTTTTATTTTATAAAAATAAGTTATTGTTATATTATTTTAAAATTTTATAATATCTTTACGACTCCATGCTTTTTTAAAACACCCTCTCTTATCTATTGCATTAAATTAAAAATCTATTTTTTTGAATTCTTATTATTTTTAAAAATTTAAATAAATATAATAAAGACTCATAAAATATATATTTTTCAACAGATAAGTGATTCTTTTCACTTGTATTCACTTCAATAAATAAAATGATTCTCGTGCTGTCAAAAAGGGATGCAAGAATCTCTCCACATCTTTTAATGCAGTTAGTCCTTATCATAGCACCAACGTCTGGTATTTCCTTTGGAAATTGAACCTTCCTTACATAACATCCTAAATTTTAATTCTTAGTTGACTAGCAAGATAATTTGGTTTAATATGTCAAATGGAGTCAAAGGATGGTGAGTAAGTGCTAAGGTAATGTGGTGTATGGTCACAAAAAGTTAACGAATATTTTGGATGATGATTTTAGCTCTAAGATTGGATCTGAAGTGAAAGTTGGGCCACCCGAACGTCAAAAAGTGATAAAAACAAGGATAAGTAGCTTTCTGTCATGTGTTGTGACACGTGCACAATAAGCCACAGCGTATAGGCCAGTCAAGGCATAAAGAGCCCTCTCTATATCACATGTTGCAGCATGTGGTGATGAGCACCGCAGTGCACGATACATTTTCTATAGATTTTAGACACAAACTAATACAAGAATTAGAAGAGAAAGAAAAGGGAGCATGAGAATAAGCAAGGAGCTATGCTAGGGTTTTGTTTCTAAAGGAAGATTAGAGCATTTTGAAACTACTAAACTCCAAAGGTAAGTCCCCTAACTTGTTATTCTTCCTTTTCAATCCATTTTCTTGAAATTTTTTGTTAGGGTTTGATAATAGGAGTTAATTTTCAATCCAGATAAGCTATAGATTCGAATTCATTGACTTGAATATAGTTAATGAGAGATGTTTAAAGTATTTAAACAATTGATTGAAGAGCCTACACGTTTTTTATGTATAGGATCGATTAATGCCCGAAAATGGGTGATAAATGTGGAGTTATGAAGGTTGTTGTAACATTAATGACTCTATATGAGTTAATAATTGTTAGTTAGGAGTGATAGAAGCTATTAAGCCCAATAGGTAAGCCTATATGTGAGAAATAAAGATATTAGATATTTTAAAAGTGGAAAATGAGAGTTGGAAGTATGTGTTTGACAATGTTAGTGAACCCAAACTTGATTAATTGTAAATTAATCATTTAGATATCATATTTAGCTTGGAAAGCAAGCTTGAAAGCAAGTTATTGAGGGGTAAATTATTAACCTCTCAAAAGTTTGAGATAATCGGGAGAAACTTATTTTGAGTAATTGTTTGTCAATTGTATTCTAATGTGAAAATGAGTTTATTTACATGTATAATTGAGTTTGTAAATGTAAAAGCATGCCATAAATCTTATGATAGTGCATTAACTTTGATTTGACTAAAATGTGGAGTTGAAATCAAAATGATATTAAAATCATGACACGTCATTGAAATGAGAAGTGTTTGATGTGTAATGTGATGATTGTATGGTTGTGTTGAGATGGTGAATACTCTGTGTGTGGCTAGATGAGGATTTTGAAATGTGTTATAGGATTGAGCATTTAAGATGAGGATATTGCTAAAAACAATGTTGATGCTCACTTGGGTGGTATATTATTGTAAGCTCAATGTGTTAATATTGAATACTTGAAATTGTAAAGATGAGTAAACATCATACATTGCATGATCATTTAGCAAGAGTTCACCTAGGGAGAAGAATAGATAAAATCTATATGGTACGTATGTTTGCCTTTCAGTGCATAAAAGCTTAGCTTTGTCCTATTATTTGTCAAAAAATTATCCTCTAGTTTGTCGAAGGACTAGAATTTAATCATCTTCACCTGTTTATCGAGGAGATTAACTTAGGGTAAACAACGCGCAAGGATTCAAGAGTAGAAAAAGCCATGAACTGAGAGTAAGTTTTGTGATCTTTGGTCGATCATATCTCATAATTAGTGAGCTTGAATAGTTCAATCACACGAGTGAAACCCTGATTGATATTATAACATATGATTTTAGTTAGAGGAGATAAGGAGGGTATAAGGATGACTCGATCATGCATATGTGTGCATCTAACATGTTGCATGGTTGTTAAACATGTGACGAGTTGTGATAGTGAATATGCCATTGTCATACAGGTAATTTTCTAGTGCTGATGTGCATTGATTGAATGTGCTCAAGTAATCGTCACATGTTTGTGTTTAGTGTAATAATGTACTCTGTGAATTGAGCTGAGAAATATGAAAGTGTAATGAATTGTGGAGTTATAACTTGTATTACATGTAATTGAATGTTTTTGTGAAATCAACTTACTTTTATGTATTTAATTCAATTGATATACAATTACATAGGATAGGTGAACCTTGATTACTGAGTAGTTAGAGTCGCTCCTTTCCTTCAATATTTTATAGGCTATAGTTTTAGTACAGAAAAGGGAAAGACTCCTAAGACTTAAAAATTTAGGATTCCCTTTGTATAGTCCCTTGATCTTATTTTGTTTTGTGCAATAGTTTAAACATTGTCAATTAGAATGTATTTTGTTTACACCAGCACTATGTTATCGTTAATGAATTTGATATAAATTTTGGGCTCTAAAATATTGTATGTAAATTGTTATAGTATTAATAGGGTTAAAACATTGGTGTAAGTATAGGGATATTGTTTTGATCATAACTATGAATGTTTATTTGTAAATGCAATGCTTTGACCTCTTCTTCTTGTTTTTTTTATTAAGAGGTTGAGGAGTGGAATGTGATACTATTAAGTATGTGTTCGCGTGGTGTGCTGTATAAATAGTCATGAATCCTCTGGGCATGTTTCGTGTGTTAGAAATAGCTTTTGGCACATGTATTGGGTTTTGGACACCTTTGATTGTAAAAAAGTGTGAAAATATGTTCAGGTATTTAACCTCCTTGTGCGATTTGATTTGGAAGTAAAACTTGTGCCATTAGCTAATATATAAAAAGAGTTTTTAATAGACATTTAGATCATCTCATTCGGATATTGAACACGAAAATGGAGCATGTTGAAAGTTGCTTAGGTTTGTTTTCAAATGGCGGCAGAATTGCTATTTGAAAATGTGAAATACGTCATAGCGCATGTCACAGAGCAAAACAACTATAGTACATGTGCACAAATCGTGACGCATTGTCCTGTTTTTCATAACTTAATATTTTATAATAGATTTTGAATCTTTTTACTTTTATGAGATATCTCATGATTCTGAAACATTATTTAACTTTGATTTGAGATTTATTAAGTCGTATTTCGATGAAATTAATTTATGAAAATTTGAGATTCTATTTCTACATATTACAAACTTGGTAATCAAATTAGGGTTAATTTAAATATTATCTTGGATTTAAGTGTTAAATATGATTAGATAAGGGAGATATCACAGCTTACAAGATGCTGCTCTTTATTTAGAAGCTTGTTCATAACGCTATTCCAATTGGGGACAAACTTCTCAAGCATCACAAACTAGCATCTATCTTGTGTACCTTTTGTTGTGGTTGTGATGAATCTCTACAACACATTTTCTATGGTTGCCCTTTATCTCTACAACACATTTTCTATGGCTGCCTTTTCACTAAAGCTATCTAGTATGGCTCATATTCTATCCATTCTAGTTCCATCTCCACTACAAGACTAGTATAATGGATCATCTCTATATCAAAAGCACTTTATTGAATAACAAGGTTCAGGAGTTCGAAGGAATCTTTCTTCTCATTTTCTTAATTTGGTTTAGGCTATAGTGTACTTTTAGTTCTTTAATTTTATATAAGGTTTCAATTTAGTTTTTTAATTTTAAAAAGTTTCTTTCCAATCCACTAACTCTAACACCAATAGTTTTAAATAATTATTTTTTATGCCAATAATTATTATTTTGGAGAAAAAAATTTAATACGTCAACATTTAAAAATATTGTTGGTATTTGAAAGGTTAATGTATATTTTTTTGTCATGAAACTAACGGTGTTAAGATTAAAAGATTAAAAAATATTTTATAGAATTAAGAGACTAAAATAAAATATTTTACAAAATTAAAAAATTAAATGTATATTTTATTTAGCCTTTGGTTTAAGAGAAATCAAACCTTTTATTGGGCTTCTAAATTCTCTTCATATCAAGTTATTTGAGTCTTTCATGGACAACTAAATTTCATCAAGAATGCTTGCCAATGAAAACCAACATTATCATCGTTGGTGACATCCAATTCAAAAGGCATTTTGAATTTTTTCATAGTCTAAGTCATCACAATGTTCTAAAAATAAATGAATGATTAAGATTACAAAGTGAAAAAAAAAAGGTAAACTCATCACTTGTGGATCTCAAGTTTTGTACGATGGGTGATGAGTTGAGCAAGTTTATGATTCAAAAAACTTGTCATAAGGATCCTCTTACCTTTGAATTGGTTTGCTTATTAGCAATTCTATATTGAATATACAATTTCATGAATAGTATTGACCGTCCGCGTAGTGTAGGTCACATCACCATTTCAGCTCATAAAGGAAACATCAGGCCCCGAAAAAAAAAGTTGATTGCTTTGCACAAGATATTCTTCAGTTGCTTAGTTATTTTAATTCTATTTTGTTCGAGAAGCAAAATTGTAATGACATGTTGATCTTTTTCTCTGTAATTATCCTTTTTAATTTTCTTTTAAATGGTAAGAATACTTTTATACTTTTTAGCTAATATATTCATTTGACTTAAAAAAAAAAAGGCGTCGCTTCACCAGATACTTCAGCCCCAGCTCCGCACTTGCCATAGCATCAGCGCGAGTTTACCTATCTCGTTGCCTCGCCCTCTGCCACTTCTGCTCTTCTCATCTCTTCAAGCCCTCGTCTTTTCTCGCCCACTACGTCTCCCCCTTTCTCTTTATCCATCCCCAACTCCTTCAATGCTCTTTACACATGTGTACGCACTGCCCTGCCTTCCTCTCCTTCACTCAACACTACCTCTAGATGTAGGCCCAGCTTCGTTGTCAAGGCTGCACGAACTTTCTTCACGTCTTGTTCTTTATTTATTCGTTTATTCTACTTCACCATTCTTGTTTCTTTAAGTGAGTGTTAAAGTTGCCTTTCTAGGGCTGCTTTGTAGCTTACCTGTGTTTAGGCATTCATCATATTGCAACACTATGGAACGAGAACTTCTCGGATACGATGTTGTCTGCATTTGTTGGAATCATTCTAATGTGTTGTCGGCCTGTTGCTTTTAGCTGCTGCATATTTGTTGGATAAAATGATTTTTTTCCCCTCTCGTGTTAAACCATACCATCTAAGGTTGCTATTACGCCCTCGCTGTGGACAAGTTCATGGTCAAATGTCTGAACATTTGAAATTGTACGTGAACTGCATTAATGATTATAGGCTTAGGATGCCTGATTTTCACATGTAGCATTTCCAGATCGTTAGTTTAATCTGTTGGTGAGATGCAACATATGTTTATATGTTGCGTTGAGATGAAACTCGTTAGCTATTAGACCAAGAATTCTCAACAGGACTTTGGTGTTCTGGACTATTAAGCTTAGTCAAAGTTTGCTTCCTAAGGGAATTTAAGCATTAACGATTGTAAATTATACGCCATCTTTTTTATTTGCTGGAAAGTCTTTTTAATTCGTCAACTGCAGTAACTGCAGTCCCCAATTGTGAGGCAAAAAATTATATCTAGGACCCCAAATTTTCTCTGGATTGACCTTTGAAGTACATAATCTTCTTCTTCTCATTTTCAGAGCAAACGTCCACTAGGGGGAAATCAAGCTCCAGATTTTGAAGCAGAGGCTTTTTGCTCAGGAGTTTATCAAGGTAGACAATGAAGAATCCTTTCTTTCTAAATTAGCAGCTGGATGTTTTGTTCTAATGATCACAGTGTAAGGCACATTTAGAACGTGTTTCAAATCTCCTACACGCTGGTGTATAAGGAACACAGCAAAGACAAATTCAGACTATCAGCTGTTGAAATGATAATCTAATTGTTTCTTTGTTATTTAATCTTTTATGAAGAATGCTATTAATAGAGATTTTGTTTGGCTAAAGCACTTTTGTTTCAGGTCAAACTGTCTGAATACATTGGGAAGAAATATGTTATCCTCTTTTTCTACCCGCTGGACTTCACATTTGTTTGTCCAACAGGTTGGTTATCATTTCAGTAAACTAAAATGGCATTTCAGATAACTTGATCCTTAAACGATGTTTCTTGTCTGCAGAAATCACTGCTTTGAGTGACCAATATGCAGAGTTTGAGAAACTAAACACTGAGATATTGGGTGTTTCAGTCGATAGTGTGGTAAGTTGGTTTAGACTCTTCTCCTATTTTTATTTCCTCTGCTACTGCCACATGCAGCCAACCTCCCTTGACCCTTTTGAATTTTGTTTGACCTTGCATATGCTTCTTTCTACTGATATTAGCTACTGAAGAAATTATTGAATTTATCACAGTTCAAGCAGATACGTGATGTAGGGAAAAGCTATGATGGAGACTTAGATAACATATTGGATTCTATAAGTTGCTAGATATGATTTATGGAATAGGTTACGGGACATTGCTTCATACACTAAGGAAAAGGGATTATCTTGAAGAAACCTTCATTCAATCACAGATAATCAAATTGTGTTTTGGTTAATCTACTTTTTGGACCTCCATGTTAGATATTTTATTATATATTATAAGTATAATATATTATATTCATAGAAATTGTTTTAAATCTAATATCCCAATTTACAATATCATTAAGTTATGAGATATCATCAAGGATAATAAAAATATCCTAATTGTAGCTCAAATCAGCTGATCGTATCTAGGTTTAAGGATTTGCTTAGTTTAAATTAAATAATGAAATAGTTCTGATGGTGGATTATAAATAAAGGCCTATAGATTAAGTTAATGCACTGTAAATTGTTACGTTCTAAGCAGGTTCCCTGACTAGTGATGGCTCTTACCCAGTTGCCATCACTATGCCTACATACTAGAGTTAGAAGAATCCCTCTCATATTTAACTCTACTAATTCTCTCTTTCTTTTCTTTCCTTTGTTTTCTAGCTATCGTGAGATTAGGGGATTCCATTTCAAATCATCTAGCAATAGCAAAGAGGTAACCTTAAGCCTTCCGCTATACTCTGTATGCGGGAAATCTGCATGGATGATTTAATAGAGTTTCTCTAACACTTCATTGGCAACTATTGTTTTGAAGGCTATCTAATAGTGCTTCCAAAATTTGCTTCTTGATTTGTCCCCCCACCCCCAAAAGTTTTGTTAAAGGTGTTATTGTTATCAAAATGTAGTTCTTGCTCCTGGCGTGGGTTCAAAGAGATAGAAAGTCTGGTGGCCTCGGTGATTTGAAGTATACATTGATCTCTGATATCACCAAATCAATTTCAAAATCCTATTGCGTTCTCATTCCTGATCAGGTATGTTTTAACTATTTAAAATAATAATCCTTATATTTTTTTAAGAAATAAAATTAGAAAGATTAAAACTATTTTAAAATTTTAAACACTGCAATCTTTAGAAATATAAAAAGGCTTAGTAACTTTAAATATTAGCACTAAATTTTACATAATTTTAATATTTATAATTTTATTTTATATTTCAATATGAAATTTAATAGTTTAAATAATGAAAATTACAAGGGTTGAATTACAAGAGTTAAATTTTAAAAATTTAATTATAAATGAATTAAAATTATAAAGATCGAAACATAATGAGTTAAAATTTGGACATTTAATTACAATTATGTCAAATTTTAAGGATCAAATGCTTAGAAACTCTTACTAGAAATAAACAAAGCCAATTTCAGTGTACCTTGTCCGTGCCCTACCTTCGGTTGTCTGGCTATAGGGCATCTTGAATAAAGAGCTCGAAGTTAATGTATTGTCTGGGAAAAGGATTGCGTTGGAGCAAAGCTGAAGGAGCAGCTAATTGGCATCAAAGGTATATCAGGTGCGTGTTCCAAACCTACGCGTAACAAGTAAGATCCTTGTGTTTTGAATGGGGAGAATGCGATTTAGGTTCGCCCAGTTTATCATCTGAATGGTGTCATTCCATTCAGAAGAACTTCCTTTTGACTACATCTGCATTACAAATAATTCGAAGATGAGATGTCTCATATGGTCACTTGTCGCCACGACACAAAACCCAAAATCTTGGCCTCTTATCTAGCATTAACTTATTGATAAAAACTTAGTATTTTACATGAAATTTGAGGTGAATAATAATGTTCGCATTTATGGACTTTTTATCATACTTTGCCCACATCCAGCAAAACGAAAAGAAATCTGCTCCCTTAGAACCATCACCCCGGCCCATAATATTTTTTCTTTGCACCTTGCATATCTAGTTTAACTTTCTTTTGAGTTCTCTCTTCTTTTTTTGCCCCCTGCAATTCAATTATAAGGTATATTAGTACTAAATGCTAATGGAGGCAAGCATAATTTTCAGTGCAAGCCTTTCAAATTGACCAGACACACAACAGTTTTTCATGAGAAAAGTGTTTCTAAAATACCAACATCAGCAAAAACAGTTGGGTTGGTTAATCATTCCAGTACGTACTAGTTGGCTTTTTGACTTGGTAGAAGAACAAACTTTGCTTGCGTTTTGCTCTATGGCTTCATCTCCGACTGGCAATGATTTGTCTGTTAGTTATGTTTAGAAATGATTATTTGTTGGGTATGTTTAGAATCATTGTTCAAAATAGAACTGAGATACCCTCATCATCCCAATTTGTTGGATGGCGTGCGAATGATAGACTACTTTTCTTTTCTCCGGAACCCTTTGTGTGTGTGTGTGTGTGTGTGTTTATATATCCTATATGTCTATGATAACCACTGTACGAGAGAACTGAATCAAATTATATTCGGCTTACAAGGAGACATCGACGTGCTAGCTGTTCACATTCTATCATTTGGGTTTGGAGTTCATTTTTTATATCCCGGAATCTTTTAGGCAGATTGGATTAGATCTGATCTTAGTGTGTGGATCCGCTTATAAACAGAAATTATATGCCTATTCATTTATGTAATGATTAAGTTATTAATTTTTTTAATATTGCCATCAAGTGCCGGATCAATTTACTTGTACCCAAACCAAATTCGTCTCCTGCCACAAGTCAAAGATATGCCATTGATTCTGGGCAAATTTAAGAGCTGATAAAAATGTGTAAAAATTATTCTTCCGATCCTGAATATATGAGCCAGATAATTACTTTACAGAATTAAAAAAAATAGTGAAGTGAATTGTTTGCAGGAAAAAAAAAAGTGTTGATTTTCTTAAAAATAATTGGACACCAACCCCTATTGAAAGAAACCCTTCTAATACATGCAACCAACAGGGGTAATTTGGGACATCGTGGGAATAGTTTATCAGTATCATATTCACATAACTTAAACAGAAGGTTATACTCAAGCAATTTTCTCCAACAAATGTGGCTACGTAACAGCAATGACATGCTACATGCTAAAAATTAATGAGCAAAATAAACAATATTAATACTACCAGGAGTCATTGCAAGAAAGACTAAGATCTGGTCTGCGCAGCATATCTGAATATAACGTTATATTGTAGCTGATACGAATCTAATCCAAAAGAATTTGATCTTATAGAAAATCTGGTTAGAAGTCTACGAAATGGAAAATCAACTGTTATGTCTAAAGGGGTTCGAGGAAGAATTGAGCTGGAACAAACAAAACAAAAGGGTGACAGTATTCATTCTTCAGTGGGTAGACTTGCCCCAGTTAGATTGCTTGCGTTGGAGCTACCCAACATGATAGGCCCCCACCAATGCAAGAATCGGCTTATGATCAACCCTCTTTGTTCAGTTTTTTATACGTTCATTCACGTGACAGACTTGCAATTGCAGACATTACCGCAAGACCTCTTCTCCTTACTCCTACTCTACGATTCCACCGAGAATACCGGCTGATTCTTAATACATCAACAACAACAACAACAAACAACAAGCCTTTATCCACTAGGTGGGGTCGGCTACATGGATTGCAAGACGCCATTGTCTCTATCATTTATTAAGCTTTTAGAAATATTATTAATTAAGAGATATCACGTTCAACAACTTCCAGAGTGTTTCTCTTAGGCCTTCCTCTACCTCTCTTAATCGGACTCAAATTATATGTTCCACTCTCCTTCTCACTGGTGCCTCCCTTGGTCTTCTTTGTACATGCCCAAACCATCTCAACCGATTTTCTACCATTTTTCCTCAATAGGTGCCACCCTCACTTTTTTCACGTATGTGCTCATTTCGAATTTTATCTTTACGTGTATGTCCGCACATCCATCGTAACATTCTCATCTCTGCTACTCCAACTTTATGCTCTTGCTGTCCCGTTAGAGCCCAACATTCACTACTATATAACATTGCCGGTCTGATAGCAGTACGATAAAACTTTCCTTTAAGTTTATTAGGCACCTTACGGTCACAAATAACTCCTTTAGCTTTTCTCCAATTAACCACCCAGCTTGAATTCATATGTGAAATATCTCCACTGATTTCGCCATCATTTTGGATAATGGCTCCCAAATATCTAAACTTTTCCACTTGAGGTATAATTTGATCTCCCAATTTCACTTCCAAATTATTTTCGAATAGTCCTTTATCAAATTTACAATATATATTCCGTCTTATACTTCTACTCAGACGAAAACCTTTCGACTCCAATGTCCTCCTCCATAACTCAAGTTTGCAATTAACCTCTTCTCTTTCGTCTCTGCTATAAGAACTATATCATCCGCGAAGAGCATACATTTCGGGATTTCCTCTTTGAATATGTTCGTCAAAACATTTAAAATCAAGTTGAACAAATAAGGACTCAGAGATGATCCCTGATGTAGCCCAATCTTTATAGGAAAATCCTTTGTTTGACCACTAGGCGTTCTTATACTAGTTTTTACCCCCTCATACATATCTTGTATGGCTTTAATATAAGCAATCCGTACTCCCTTTTTTTCCAACGCTTTCCAAAGCACTTCTCTTGGTATACGGTCATAAGCTTGTTCCAAATCAATAAAAATCATGTGTAGATCTTTATTTTTACAACGATACTTTTCCATTAATCCCCTTAGTAGATAAATCGCCTCTGTAGTTTGATCTACCTGGCATAAAACCAAATTGATTCTCAGAATACTTGTCTCCAATCTCAACCTGTGCTCAATTACTTCTCCCCACAATTTCATTGTGTGGCTCATGAGTTTAATCCCTCTATAGTTAGTACAATTCTGAATATCTCCTTTATTTTTTATAAATAGGAATTAATGTACTTCTCCTCCACTCATCAGGCATTTTCTTGGACCGTAAAATCACATTAAATAACTTAGTTAACCATCTCACCCCTTCTTCACCTAAACATTTCCACGCTTCGATAGATATACAATCAGGTCCGTTACTCTACCATTTACCATTTTCTTAAGAGCTTCCTTTACCTCCTTATCACGTATTTTCGATAATGACAAATTTTGTTCTCCTTCACCAGTTACAAATCCTCCAAGTTACTAGAAATGAATCCTCTCCATCATTGAAATTTAGAAAATAAGTCTCCCATCCTATTTTAATTTCATCATCTGTAACTAAATTCTTCCCTCTTCATCCTTAATACACCTTACCTGTTCTAGATCTCTTGATTTTCTTTCCCTACTCTTGGCAATCTTATAAATATTTTGCTCTCCTTCCTTCGTCTCAAGGTTCTTATAAAATTCTTCAAAAGCTTTAGAACGAGCTTCACCCACAGCTCTCTTAGTTTCCTTCTTAGCCATACGGTACCTCTCCCAATTTTCCTCATTGTTACACAAATGTATGGCTTTAAAACAGTTCTTCTTATACTTGAGTTTGTCCTGTACACTATTATTCCACCACCAAGATCCTTATCTCTCGGACCAGGACCTTTCGATTCTCCCAAAACTACTTTTGCAACCTCCCGTATCTTTTTAGCCATATCCTCCCATATGATGTTAGCACTTCCCTGAGAATCCCAAATTCCTTTATCCAAAGATTTCGCTTGAAAATATCTTGCTTCTCACCTTTTAATTGCCACCACCTAACCTTGGTGTTACTACTTGTCGACGTTTTTGGATTTTACTCATAATACACACATCAAGGACTAGGACCCTATGTTGTGTCGTTACAACAGCATCTCCAGGGATCACCTTACAATTTTTACAAAGTTTTCTATCTGTGTTCCTAACCAAAGAAAATCAATCTGCGACCTTGAGGCTCCACTTTTGTAGGTGATGAGATGCTCATCTCTCTTCTTGAAACAAAGTGTTGGCAATCTTAAAATCATAACGCCAATGAGAAATCAAGAAGAGTTTGCCCTTCATTGTTTAGCTCTCCAAAACCAAAACCACCATGCACCCTCGCATACTGACCAGCTTCCCTCCCGACATGCCCATTAAAGTCTCCTCCAATAAAAATCTTTTCACTCTGTGGTATGTGTCGAATCAACCCCTCCAGATCCTCCCAAAATAATTCCTTAAGACTGCTGGCTTATCCCGACTTGCGGCGGGCATAAGCGCTAACATATTAACAGTCTCACTCGTCCAATTATCATTTTTTAAGAAATAATTCTGTCTCCAATTCTGCTAACTTCTACACGTTCTTCTTCCACTCCTTATCTATAATGATGCCTACTCCATTGCGTGCACTTACTTTTCCTGTATACCAAAGTTTGAAACCTTGAATATCCTTAGCTCTTCTCCACGCCATTTTGTTTCTTGCAAGCAAAAGGATATTGATTTTCCTTTGAATCATAACCCCTACAACCTCTACGATTTACAATTTAATGTCCCAACATTCCAAGTACCAAATCTAATTTTGCTCTTATGGACTAACTTCTTTAGCCGCGTGCGTCCAAAATGACGCGGTAGCCCTTGCTCATTTAACCTACAACATCGGGGCGCCGATGCAGGGCGGCTCTAACTCACTTATCACTGTACTCGAGCCATGCAGCGCGTTACTTACGGGCAACGACCTAGCATTAACATTAAACGTCTATTGTCCATGTTCATGATAGATTCATCACAAATTTTTTACATTGGCTGTTGATGGCCTAACACAACCCTCCTCCTTTACCCGGGCTTGGGACCGGCTATAAACATAGGCGAGTTGATCTTAATACATCAGCTTAGTTTAATTGAACATGGATGTTTTTCAATCGAAGAAGATACCCATATCTCACCCAAGATTTACAATTCACTTGGGTTGGATCAGGTGCCTGACTAATCAGGATCACGATTTTTCTCGCAGTATATTCGATTTGAGAGAGAGAGAGTCGGTTGGGTGTAAAGGTCTAAAGGAAGAGGAGAATATATTGATACGACGAATCATCACATGTTGATATCAAAAGAGATGTAACATAATTTCCATTCATATTTTGATTTTGCATTTGATGGACATCTCTATTTCTGTTTGCTATATAGGGACATCACATTAGCCAATTGTGTCCTATCTTTCTAAGAAACAAAAAGAAAGATCCTGTGTTGACTTTCTTCTACGGTTCCTATAAGGGCCGTATATTTCTTATGTACCAAGAAACCAAAACCCCAAAAACCATCCCCCTTCATCTTCAGCCTTGAAAATGAATCACATGGCAACTTCTGATTCTGCCACGAAATTTAGCCTATCTTCCCACACCAACTTAGAAACCACCTCGTCTTGCTCGGGCCATGTTCCTGCGTCCACAGAAAAAAAAACGAAATAAAAAAGGAGCCCCACTAGACTAGCAGATCAGGCTAAACCAGAAGAGAAATCCATTATAATTAATTTGATAACTTATATACAGAAAGGTGTCATCTTTGTGAACCGCACAATAAAGCATACAAGTACCTCCAGCTCTTTGACCATTCTTTGGCAGTGGGTGCTGACACGATAATGCGACGTGCCGTAGGGAGATAAAGCCTTCATCAACGGCCTGATCAATGAACGACAACAAGGTATTGTAGTACCCATCCACGTTCAACAGCCCCACCTGTACCCCGCAACGCAAAGCACTTTGTTAGAGATACAATTATTATATACCCCAGCAACTAGCATTGACCAACAACTCTATGTGTTTTGCGTTCTTGTTTATCATTTTATATGAATGATGAGGATTGGTCACCGTATCTTTCTCCCACTCAAATGGAAACACCAAATAATGTACGTGACAACAATTAACTACACAAAAATCTTCATAATGCGAACCAGAATTTAATACCCCCACATGGATTGGTTCTGTTTTGAAGCTTCCTGTAGGTTGCATAATTCATTAAACCCCCGTGTTGACATTTCCTTGTCTGAGATATGTGTACGGTCAACTTGCTACCTAAACGAGACGCGTATCAAGTAACATGACAACCAAAACGTATATTGAGAGCATTATTAATGTTAATTATTAATTATGTAAACATGGGGCAATGTCTCATGTGCAAGCTATATATAGTTGCTAACAGCAAGTGTTGTCACAATAATCAAAGGCAAGGAGAGAAAAGAGGAATTTGACTTTGGGATTTTTTTTCGGTTTTTGTTTATCAAAAAACTTGATTCCAGAAAGATCCCTAGAGCTAGTGAAGCTTGTTTAATTATGATCTATTTCTCTATTCCTTCCCATCTTTCGGGCATCTTTCCGTGTCCCCCTCTCTACCATATTATTTTATTTCACAATATATTGGATTTTGTCGTTTGAGGATAGTTTGGGGTCAGAGAAATTTGGAACTAACATCACCTAAAACTAGCCATATACCTTGACTATTACAATTAAAGAACGATAATTGACAATTGCGAATAATTTCTTACAGGTTTGCGGTGGATTCCAAGCTGAGCCCATGTGATTACTTCCAGCAATTCCTCAAGGGTTCCATAGCCACCTGATGCACGAAATAACATAGATTTAGTAATTACAAGACAAGACAAGACAAGATGTACTCTTCATGCAGAATTCACCAGCTGGCTGCAGTAAGACTGTAAAGAAGGTTTCGATCCCTACGTACCTGGGAGGGCAATGAAGGCATCCGCTTGACGAGCCATCTCAGCTTTTCTTTGATGCATATCAGATACGGTTCTTACTTCTCCAATAGGATCACCAGTTATCTGCAATAAACATATGAATCTCGTGTCACCAAACATTTAAAAAATTAGACGGCCTAGCAAATAATAGTTTTAAATTAAGTGCTGTACCTCTCGAGGCATCAGAGTTTTTGGGATAACCCTGCACATCAAAACCCATACAGACGTCAGACCCAACGTATAAGGAATAATAGAAAATGTTGACGCGGGAGATCATGTTATGAATTATGATGTCCTCTTCAGATTTTATATTTCCTTTTAACAAAAAACCTTTAACTTAAATAAGCGGTGCTTGCTATGTGACCGGAGAGAAGGAGATTTGCAAAAAGGTTAGATTGTCTTTCAAGAGCACGTAAAGAGAAAAGGCAAAGGAGGGTCCAATTAGCAAACGCTGCACATAGCACATCAAAAAAGTTACGTCCCTTTACGGAAGAGCCAAAAGGCGTTCAGCTTAATCATATAGAGCAAAGCTGCTCTAAAAGCTTCTAACCATCAATAAAGGTCACACACTTTTCTTTTTCTTTTTTAATCACAGCTAAAGCACGAAGAGACAGATTAACCGCAAGCAAGTTATTTTATATCTATAATGCTTCCCTCTCCCCTCTCACTGAAGGAAGCCTCGGAAAAAGATAAGAAATACTCCACGTTGCTTAATTCCACCCCATTATGTCCCACTGTAATCCGTTTGTTGGACAGCAGGGAAGAAAGATAGCACGCATGGGCCAACGTGTACAAAAGAACATAACTCGCTTCTTTAAAAACTACGTAGGTTCAGTGACTTAGGTTACCACTATCCATAAGCACACACAAATGATGAGGGGAGAGAGAGAGGACAAACCTAGAACATGGCGCCCACCATCATGAACTGCCTGAGAAACGAGTCCCATCAACCCCACGCTTCCACCTCCGTAGACCAAATCAATCCTTCTCTCTCACCTTCAAAACACATCGAAAAAGCAAAACAAAGAGACGCGTGTCACCACTCATCATGAATACCAGACCAAACATACAATGGGAGCAACCCCAAATATTGAATATAAATTTACAAGCTCTCGTGAACAGTGGTCTATAGTAATCCCATTAGGGTAGACGACGAACACACGTAATAACAGTCTTGGAATTTTTAAAAAATAAAGAGCATGCAATGTAACTAGCCAGAGCGATGAACTAATTTGGGTGCGCAACCCATAGGCAAGAATCATGGAGGTTTGGTCAAGGAAGCTTGTGGGGAATGTCAAAGCCAAGAACACGCTTAATAGAGTAATCATACCAAGGTTGCACGTTTGGTTCCCTAGAAAACAGCAGAAAATGTTTCTTTTTTTTCTTTTCAAAGATTGAAACTTGAGGGAGCTAAAATAATAAGATAGGCTAAACACTCGGGGAAAAAAAAATAAAAAAGATAGGCTTAACACAGAGAGATCATGCAACAAGGCTGCTCAACTGACAGGCGGATTACAGCTAGCAATCGCTCTGTCTCTCTCTCACGCCAAACTTAAACCCTAAACCGCCTACCCATATTCCTCAACAATCATAAGCCCACGTTGAGAAGTTGTTTCAGACAAAGAAACAGCCAGCCGCACAGTTCGGAAGAAGGAACGGGATAACAAGGACAAAAGACAAAGACGCAACTAGAGAATACATGAGGTAAATCGGAAAAAAAAAAATCGAGACGAACAAATTTAACCAAAAAAAAATCAGTTCCAGATTGCATTGAGGAACCGGAAAAGATATTTTTGCAGCGCTGAAGATGCATTGAACCTAAATAATTACTAAAAAAGCATGACAGGAAGGAAAGCATATATAATGCGGCCGATAATTCTCAGAAGGTTCAGACTCAAAGGTTGATTGTTGGAATAGGATTTAAGAATCGTAAACATATTGACAGGAAAAGAAGCAGAATCGATTGGTACAAGCGAGAAAATAGGCAGCCGGTATCTTTTCTGTCTCGTAATGGGACACGGCGTTGAAAGAAAAACAAAGGAAGAGAAGACGTTGAATGAGAGAAAGGTTACCAGTTCCTTGCCGAGTTGAACAGCAGCTTCCTGATAACTAGCTTTCTTGCCAGAACTGCTGCCACAGAAAACACAAATACGCTTGAATCTGGATTTTGTTTCTTCCATCGGGTCCGTGATCGTTTCCGCAGGAAGTATATCAGCAGCTGCAGAGGGAAGGAAAAGGAAGGATGGTTGAAAATGAGAACAAAGTGACTATTTCTTAATTAATGCCTGCATAGATGTAGAGTATGTGAACAGATATATCTATATATATAGATCCGTCCCCGTCCACTTGAAAGAATAAAAATATTTGAAATCGAATAACGAAAGGAATGGATTCTTTTTTTTATTAAGTTAAAACTTGCCGTATTTTTTGTTTCTTTTATCTTTTATGAACCGTTTAATATTCCTTTAAATTTTGCAATTACGCGTGTTAACCAAAGGCTTTTGGCTTAAAGTTAATTTAGAAGGAACGTAAATAATCATTATAAATCATTTAAAAATTATAAACAAATTTATAAAGTATACAAATAAAAATATATTAAAATAATATCATATGTCTGTCATAAATTTAAATGTCTTCATTTTTGTTAAAATATAATACTGTTTCAAGCATGAGAGTTAAATGTTAAAAAAAAAACATGTGCCTACTACTGACTCTGTCCCGAATTATAAAATATTTTGGGTGAAATTTAATGTCTTAAAAATATACATTTTGACAAAAATTAAATATTATTAATAATATTTTTTTAATATTATCATTACCTTTATATTATTTCTTAATATTCTTTCATGAGAGAAATGTATTTGTGAAAGTTTATATTTTATTTTTAAAAAATAAAATTATAAAATATATTATAAACTTTACAAATATATGTAATCTTGTTTTAAAATATTTCATAAATTGAGAGCACGAGAATATTTAGCACAAAAATCAAATTCGAGATTCAGGAATTTCACCTAATATGGTAGTTTTTGATAGAGCGCGTTCCCTTTCGCTGGGAAAACCCCAGTAGTTTATAATTAACATACGTTTATGCAGTGAATAATAATTATAAATGCACCTGCAAGTGCACATAATGCCAAGTGAGATTTTGTTTTTTTGGGGGCCGATGAAGTGAGAATTCACCAACCAGTCTTAACTGTTTCCAGCAATTTCTATTTATATGTGACCTCTATGGTGCAAATCTAACCATGATTTATTTGCAATAATCATTGAATAACTTATATTATAAAATAGTGTAAAATAAATATTGAATTATAAAAAACAGAACATTCAATAGCTTTTGTTAAGTCTAAAGAAACATCCGTTTATCGTTTTACTTTGGGCCCATATTCATTACAGGTGGCCTCCATTCGTCATCTACAATCTTCGTTTCCTCTCCTCTGACTACCCTTCCAACTTTATTTTGAAGTCTGTCACCATTGCCATCTCAAACCTTAACCTCTAATTGCGTGTTATCTTCATGCAATGAGAGATTTAGCAAGGTCATGAGATTACAGCTTTTGCATTATCATTAGAATCTTGTTATCAATATAGATATTCCCCGTTGGCTAAGATCGTTTGAAAATACTCTCAATGATTCTAGTAGAGAAATTCAATCCCCCTTCTCAAAGTACCCATCACACTTGCGCTTTTTCTTCTTTCTTTTCTTATCCCTTGTCTCCCAACCTAAATGCTCATTGTCCTTATCAAATCTAGACGATTCTAAGATCTCATAGGAAAGAAAGGGATTCGATTGAACCTAATTATTAATGGGGCCTCCTTCATCTTCAGGGTCATGCTCATCTTGTTGTAATTGAGCAGCTTTGAGGTTGAGTTTGGAAGCAAAGATGTTGTTTATGACAAAAAAGTCGATGGTGAAGCTAGAATTATTGAGTTGGGGAATTGAAGTGATGCTGTTGAATGCTCCATTTTTAATAGTTTATAATTTATTTTGCACTATATAAAACCTCCAATTTTTAACTAATTAGCACATACTTAACCTGAAGGTAGAGCTACCATAATATTTATAACTAATTTAATAATAAAAATGTCATAGAAAGAAAATGATCAACCTTAACTGTATCAAAATTTAAAAAGGCTAAATAAGAAAATCCCGTAGAAATGGGTTCCCATAAATAATTAAATCTAAAAATTGAGTTTAAAAAGTCATTTAGTCATTATAAATCAAATTAAAAAGTGTTTTTGAGAAGCATGAAAAAAAGCTAGAGTTAAAAATGAGTCAAAATGAGGTAAAAATGGTCATTTTTACTTAACAGGGGTACTTAGCTGCAGCAAGAAAACATTAAGCTGTGGCTTACACTTTCAGGAAAGTTTTTGCTATGGCCAATTCTCTTTTGACTGCAGCCAAATGGTCTCAAGAAGTCCTTTGACTGTAGCCAAAAATTTATTGGCTGCAGCCAAAGATATGACAGCAACTGACACAACAACTTCCCAACCATGAACTTCTGATGAGCATAACTTTTGACTCAGACCTCTGATTGAGATGATTAAAATGGCCACACGTCAATAATTTTACAATCTAACTAATGGTTTTGGTTTCATGTCAATTCGATAAAGAATTTAAACACCCAAGACCATAATTTTACATTTTTACCTCTAAACCATCAACAAAGTGTTCAAATCTCAAATCATAAGCTATTAACCCACGCAAAAGCTTAAACCACACTTAATAAGTCCAACTACATCTGTCTAAATAGTCACAATCATCAAACAATTTTTAATATAAGAATTGACTACTCAACCACCATAAAAGCATATAATAAGAGAGTGAAGCATTCAAACTAAATAATCACTCAAAACATGTTAAACTTATCTAACTTGTCAAGATATAATTTTTCAAACTATCTTGACATACTACCATGTTCATATTAGGGGTTTAGACCCTTCCATGGTTAAGAAAATCAAAAAATGATTAAATTCAATGTTTAAAACTATAAATGCAAGTAAACGTTAAACAAACATAAGTCAATATGAAAAACCCTTAGTTGACAAATATTATATTCAAATTACATATAAAAGATAAAATTATAAACATTATAATTGATTACTCAGTCTTTAGCTTCATAAGCCTCCCTTTTACTCTTAGCTTGATCCTTGCCTGTAAACATTAAGCTATGGAAGTAAGATAAATATCTCAGTAATTAAGTAATTTAATCAAGCATATTAAAGTGTGGCAATCACAACAATAAAGCATTTAATGTCACGTAAGGCAAACTAACATTATTCACAATATATCTTTATAATGTGTTTTGCATGATCAAATACAACCGCCTTGTACCACTCCTTGTATCATCTGACTGAATCTATGGGCTATTATCTCATATAGGTCTAGCTCATGTGACTGGACTAGCCCTGCTTTCCAATTGTGAATGGTCACATGGCCAAAGGCTCTCATACTCGCTTTGGAACTATGCATTCTCTCTACTCAAATTTTGAGGTGTCATAAGTGTCTGACTTACACTGTCTAATCTAGGACCAGTGATATTAAGCATCGTGCTTGACTCATGTCGCACCTATAGGTTGTTGACAATACTAAGCACATATAGCAATAAAGTATGCCAACCACTGTGCATAAACCTAATGAAGGCTACATCATGTGAATTTTCTATCATAATCTCTCTATTATGCTAGGGTGAACTCCCACCCATTATAATTATGCAAGTTTAATTAACAAATGCGAATATAAGCTCATGCATATCATAGTAATTCATCATCCTTATAATTTCTAGAACTTGCATGCTTATCACAGTTTACACCACAATGTAGTTTACTATAGCTCATTATATAATTAACTCATAGCAAATCTAAGCCCACAATTCATATTTCAAATACCAAATAACATCTATATAATATACTCACTAAACACTTTATCACAAGGGGTTATGTTTTATATTTGGATAATAGTTCAAAATCAATATATTCATCCATAAGCTCATTTCAAGCCATCCATAATAATACTTAAAATATAAATGCAGACACAATGATATATTATACTTAAATTCTTAGTTATTTCAACTCTTGATTTACCAACCAATAGTACCCGTGAGTATCAAACGAAGCCTCTAATTAGCTCAATAGTACCAACAATGATCAATCTACAATCAAACAAATTAATAGTCATTAATGACTAACTATCTTTAATTAAATCTAATCAAGACCTAAATCTAAAAATTTTATTATGGTCATCTACCCACAACCAAATCCATTTTTATGTTCCATTAGTTCATCTAGACTCCCATTAGTCTAATTAACACTATTATAACTCATAACCTTCTTAACTCAACTAATAAGCTCCAGGATTTACTTCAAACCTCACTTTGAAATCCCAAAAATTTATCAGCACCATAATCCAGAGGTTAAACACTTAAATAAACACTCATTAATCCCTTTGAAGTCAAAATCTATGAAAAATCACAATCCATTTTCAGATTCTCAAAGAACTACCTAAAAATAATGATGAAAATGCACAAGAGAGGAAAAGAATAGGTTGTGGGCACTTAAATAAGTGATTAGAAACTTCAAATAGATTCAATTAGATGCTTACAAAAAATCCTAGCAGAGCTATCTTCGTTCACCTTCAGATTCCTACTTAACTCTCTAATTTTTGAAGCCAAAATGCGGATCTAAAGGCTTAAAAATTGAGTTTTGACAGAGGTCAAGAGACTTTTTGTCTAGAGCCAAAGACCAAAAATTCAAGTTTCGAACATGGTTCATCTAATTAGGCCTAGATGTGGCCCAATACCACCTATGGTCTAATTCTAAGTCTTAATTAGGGTTTCCATTAGCCATCCATATCTTATCTTTCAATTTGAGTTAACTTTTATTGTCTAATTTATTCTTAATTATCCTCATTAACTTTAAGTTAAAATTTTCATGATGTTACACATAATTTGATAATATAAGCTACTCATTGATTGGTCCTCACAAAATAATTCATGGCTAAATTTATATTTTAGCCTTTTTTTGACAAGGTTATAGAATCATTCAAGTGAGCCCCAACATAGCAACAAACATTCATTAGCTTGAAATTAACGAATGTCGTTGGGTGCTTCATTTTTAATAGTTTAAATTTATTTTATATCATTTTAAAATATAAGTTATCTAGTGGTCTTGAAAAAATCTGGCTGCTAAATTTACACACTTACATTTGTTATTATTTATTTTTATCAAATGCTTGCACGGATACTTTTACGTTGCTAACGAGTAAACTCTTACCTT